CCCCCCCCCCTCTCATTTCATTGACTAGAAAAACTAGAAAATGTGTTTCTATTTATGAATGTCCATATCTGGACACTCGAAGATTCGCTGTATTGTATGTGCCAATATGGACAACCCCTGGTGGACTCAGTATGTTACTCACATTGAACTATGCTTTATCAGAAGCCAAGTACAGTTCATTAAAAGCAAACAAAAAAAAAGGAGAGGAGGGTAGACATTAAATATGTGAAGTGGACAATTAAAACCGATTTTAAATGCACTCGTTTAAAAAAGGAAAAATCAGATATACACATACAATCTTACATTCTAAACTCAATGACTTTTATCCAAATAGAACAACCTACTTGGAAACTGAGAAGCATTTCCATCAGACAGGGTCCGTCTGTGATGTGATGTTCTTCCCCGTGAAGGTGCACCATAAGGCACATTTCCATGCTCCATGGGGGAAGATAACTGTTTTTTCAGGAGGTCGTGATCAAGGTCAAGTCTTGACACGGAGGTGGGCTCATGGTGACCTCCTGGGAAGGCAGAGCAAACCTGTGGAGCAGGAATGGCTAGGTAAGAGGTGGTGTGTGTGCTGCCCACAGATATGTCATCCTGGTCAGGCTGCAGCAGGCACTTCGTGGAAAGCGATGGCGTGGACAAGAGGTTCATAGCGCTTGGCAGTGGGAACGAAGGAGCACCGTCCATCTCCTCTCTCTTAGACTGCAGTCTTGTTAGAGGACTGGCACTTCTGTGAGACCTGGAAGCACGCTGCACGCTTGCCTCTCTTTTCTTCTTTTCTTCCTTGAGCAGTAACTCTTCGGAAGTCTGTGCTTTCACAAGCTCGCGAATATCCAGTCCCAAAGCCACGGATGCAAGAAGCACGGTGCACGCGTACACAGCAGAATCCATTTTCTTTTTCTGGGGTGCTCTTCTCAGACTATCTGTAGGAGTCACCTGAGGGGTGCCCGGGGCAGAGCCGGCCGAGTCTTCCTCAAAGCTTTCAGGTGCCCCAGTGTTCTCCCTGTGGTCGTCCCTACAAAGAGGTACATCAATGTAGGCTTGATTGGCCAATTGTATTTGCTTTGGTTTTCTGTTCTCTAATCCATCAGGGGAAGGCTCTGGCTCTTCACAAGCACCTAAAGAAAGGTAGAAATATACATGATTGCAGTTCTCTTTGACAGTAAAAGTTATTTAAACTGTCTTCTAAAACGAGTCACTGCGGGCTTCTGTCACTCAAGAGATGGTTCTTCATTGGTCTGAATAATTAAAATTAGGATAGGAAAACATGTCATTCACACACAAAACTTCACACACAAGACATGAGAAAGATATGCTATACAAACCATGTCCTCCTCAGATCTAAAACATACTGATGGATGTCCTTATGCATAGCTAGCTGTATTTAAAAGAACAGTTAGGCAGCATGTTAGTGTTTCTCCGAGTGTTTTACCTGGATCAACAGAAATTGCATTGCTTGGGGGCTGGTCAAAATGAAAAAATTTGGCCTATCCCAGACGACTGAGTAAGAAATCTGAGGGGTGGAGTCCAGCTTCCCATGTTCTAACCAGTGCTGACTAAAGCTTAGGAACCCCTGCAATAGATGAGCAAGAAAAAGACGAGGCATTCTACGCCTAAAGAGTTACGGACTCTAAAACCCATAGAGGCAGTTCTACCCTCTCCTCCAAAGTCCCCAAGAGTCAGAACCGACTCGATGGCAGCGAGCAGTAGACGAACATTTTCCAAAAGGTGACAAAGTCCCCAAAGGGTAAGAAATTCCACCGAAGAGGATGCTAAAATCACTTTCATTATTTGCTTCACTAAAACCCCCTCCATCTGATTGCACAGCTGTCTACCAAAGTACCTCCAATAACTGTTCCAGAATGAGGTCCCAAACAAATAAAGACCCTAAACAAACAAGCAAACCCTACTGCTTCCATGAGTATTGATTATAGATCCAAGCAGGAGGAAATCATTGACAGCCTTGATCTTTTCTCCGTTTAGCATGACGTCTACTGGTGACGCTGTCACGGTTTTGGTTTCTTTACATTGTGCTATAATCCATACTCAAGGCTGCAGGCCTTGATGTCAATCGATCAACAAATGCTCTTTACCTTTTGCTATAATCCATAATCAAGGCTGCAGCCCTTGAGCTCAATCGATCAACAAATGCTCTTTACATTGTGCTATAATCCATACTCAAGGCTGAAGCCCTGGATCTCAATCAACAAATGCTTCAAGTCCTCCTTACTTGCAGTAAGCAAGATGGGGTTAGCTGCATATTGCAGGTGAAGAAGCTTTCCTTTCATTCGGATGCACTGTTCTTCAGATCGCCCATTTGTTTCTCAGCTTATACACTGGTCAGCACACATCTCAGTGCTTCTAAGGTTAGATTTGTTTCTAGCTAGATTGGTCCTGTTGGCTCCAAATTGGTACTTGTTTTCCCAGATCAGCTCCAGCTTTTGAGACACAGGCTATAGGCCACATAGTACTCTTCACTCTTTTTTGCCCGTAAAAAAATCAGGATACTTTAATGGACTTTTCAAATTATTATCTTTTAAGCATGAAGGGACCATATTAAAAATGAAAGGGGAAGTGTGATATATGAAAATCTACTTATTTCATACGAAAAGCACAGATGTCTGATACAAACTCTCTAGTCACTTGACACGCAGGAAGCGCCTTCTGCAAGGTGTCCGAGAGTGGTGTCTGTGGAGACAATCCGACATAAAATTCCGACAATAGTCTGTCATCATGTGTGCATTCCGTCTTCCTTGGTATCTGGTTTCCGTTGTTTTTATATCTTGATGAAATCTTTCATCTTGCTCTTTGGTTAAGTCACCAAGGTTCTCTGGAAAGCGGTCTAGAGACAGGCATCCTCAAATTACGTCCCACGGGTCACATGCGGCCCGCCGAGGACATTTATGCGGCCCACCTGGTGTTCTTGCCCCGTTTGCTTTTTTGCTTCAAAATAAGATATGTGCAGTGTGCATAGGAATTTGTTCATCTTTTAAAAAAAACTATAGTCCAGCCCTCCAACGGGTCCGAGGGACAGTGAACTGGACCCCTGTTTAAAAAGTTTGAGGACCCCTGGAACTATATATAGACAAGAACACTCCTGTGACAGTCAAGCCTGTAGATATGAAAGAGCATTTCCTCTACAGGGTGCTAGTACTAACTGCCTTCTTGTTGCCAAGGAAGATTTTTACAACAAGAACAAATGAAGACCAGGCACATGATCTGATTTCGTTCACTGGTGCTTTGAAATGTAGGTCATTTATAAATTGTCTGATCTGTGGACCATTGAAAATTCCTGCCTTAATTTTTTCCACAGTAAGTCCAGTTAACTTAGGCATTATTTATTCAATGCACGAACCATCTTTATTCCAAACCTTTACACATTGTTTATCAGGTCCAGCTTTATATGTAGTGGAGGTAGCATGACTGTCTCATGCTACCAAGAGCTCATAACCACCATATAGTCTTATGGAGGCCAATCTTTTCTTGCCAATGTTCATGCTTGGCTTTATGATCTCCCACGGGCATAAAAAGGAAGGATACGTTGTGTAGCAAATTAACCATCTTCAAGTCTATAACCAACTCCTCGCCCCAGCATTGATGTTCTTGGTAATTTATCTTCTTCAAGACTGAGGAAAAGAGACTTGTATTCTTCTTGCATCCTGATGGAATGACTGATTGGAACAGAATCACATCTGTCGCCGTTCTTTAAAAGAACACGTTTCAAACTACTTTTTGAACTGTTAAGGAAAATATGCCACTCACTTGGGTTTATTCTGAAACGTGACTTTTTGTTAGGTGGTTTCTGGTATCATTACAGAATAGCAAGTTGTTGTCTTTGGTATAGAATGGCAGCACGTAATTTTCTCTCCTTTGAGAAAATGTAAGTTTTGTTCCAGGCTAAAGTACATTCCTTTCCTTTAGTCTGGAGGAAAGCAATTCAGAACATTCCTTGGAAAGGTTTACGCCCATGATAGGATCACCCAATTCATTCAAAATGTTCACTATGTGAAGTAGTTTGGAAATCACTGTCACGTCCCTCCCTTTCTTTACCTTGTGTGCTATTAGACATGTATGACTCACCTTCTGAGAGCTGTGGGAGTTCACAGAAAGGTGGATCCAAGTGCAGAACAGTGTGCATTACAGGAAAGGAAGTAGACAAATAGTTGTGAAGCAAAGGTCATTATACACACAAAAATGTGGCAAGCTTAAATACGTAAACGTTCCATTCAAGTAAGAAAGCTTGTTATACGCTCAAGGAGAAAGCAACAGGACTGACGGTTCCAGAGGGACTTGGGAGAAGGAGGCGGGGAAGGGAGCAGTGAGCAAACAATGCCATAGGCAGGGGAGCAACTAGGGAATTAAAATCAACAACTAGGAGAACATAGAGATCCTGGGAGTGTTGGAGCAACAGCAATCTAGCTGAGAGGAATTACTAAGAGTCAGAAGAAAGGTGAGTGTGATGGTGGGGCAAGAGGAAGGTGAAAGGAAACAGAGGAAAGGTCTAGGAAGCAAAGCTATGGATAGAGGTAGAGGTATAAAGATAGGTGTGTACATATGTAAATACATTAATTCATAAAAACAGAGTTATTAGCATATGCACATATATTTATATGGCAATACATTGAGGTAGTGGGCGGACTTTGAGCCTCTGCTCAAGCCCTGCCTCAATGCAAGAACGCTTTGTTCTAACAATCTGGCATTCTGTGATGCTCAGCCTCGCAGCATGATCACTGAAGACAAAATGGGTACGCAAGCACATGTGGTGAAGAAAGCAGGTGGTGCCCAGCTATCAAAAAATATAGCGTCTGGGGTCTTAAAGCCTTGTAGTTAACAAGCGGAGCCGTTTGGCAGAGAAGCAATAAGCCCACATGGAAGAAGCACACCAGCCTGTGCGATCATAAGCTGTCAACAGGCATCAGAAGACCCAAAACAAACAAACAAACAAACAAAAACATGTGGTTGAGAATGAGGGGTGTTGGAGCAGAGACCCAAAACCCATCTGTAGACAATGGGACATCCCCTCACAGAAGGGTCACAAGGAAGGGCACAGTATAGCACTGATGAAACACACAATATTCCTCTGGTTCCTTGAGGCTTCCTCACCCCCGGCTATCATGACCCCCAGTCTTGTCTTTCACTTTGGGCTAGACCAGATAAGAGATCATGATACACATAATTCAGGTCAGATAAACCCCTCAGGAACAGCAATGGGAGTAGCAATACCAGGAGGGAAGGGGCAAGGTGGGAGGGAGGGGAAAAAAGATCTGATACCAAGGGCTCAAATAGAAAGTAAATGTTTAGAAAATAATGATGGCAACATATGTACAAATATGCTTCATACAATTGATTTATGGATTGTTATATAAGAGCTATAAGAGTCCCCAATAAAATGATCTTAAAAACAAACAAACCGAAAGAAAGCTTGTTATGACATGCTGATTCTGTGAAAGAGATCTTTTAAGGAGCAGATTACATTTTTATAAATTCAACCTTATCTAAGAAACTAGAACTAGTCTATCCAATGAAAATGTCAGAATCAGCACCCCAAGTCACCCCAAGAACAGGCCTAAACACCAAGACATAAGAAAATAATTTGTTTCTTGGGCTGTATATTTGTTCAGCATGCAGACTAAATAAATATGGAGAAAAGATACAATCCGGTTGAGCACCTTTCCTAACTTTAAGCCATGGCGTATCCTTGTTCTGTTTGTACAACTGTCTCTTGTTTTACGTACAAGTTCATGTAAGTGGGTTTAGCAACTCATGTGTGTTTATTCCCTCCCTGACCGGGTCAGGGCTTTATCCATTCAGGGACCCATTTATAATCTTTCCCATAGCTTATGACTACTGGCAAGTATTTGCAGAGCGAACAGTCTTGGTAAGTATAATTAGTATCGAGTTTATATAATTATGTAAATTCAAATAGTCCTTCATTTAGTCATAAAAAATTCATATCGGTTAATTCATTCTGAGTGCTTCCTATTGACCAGGGGGGGTAAACACGGACATCCCTGGCCTTTGTGGAGCTGACAATGGGGGTGGCAGATGAAATGCGAGCTATGAAACTATGAAAATGAGTAGTAATGGGACAGAGAGCGAAGAATGGACTATTATGAGTAAAGACATTCAGGTAACACAAAGAGGAAGAGTAGGAGGAAGAAGGCTTTCAATAAAACAGAAAAGTTTAAACCCAGTTGCTCCTTAATAATTCGGTTAAATTCAATGCCACTGAGCTAGTTTCAATTCACAGGGACTCTATAGGACATAGAACTGCTTACTTTGCAGTTTGCAGTCCAACTCACAACCCACCATGCTATAGGGCCCCTCAAAAGAACAAAATCTTAAATTGACAAGTATAAAGGCCAACTTTCTCCTTTGCTTCCTTTTTTCTTTTTCATTTCCCCACCCGTAATAGTTTGGTTGGCATATAATTCACATATCATACAATATTTGGTCAAGAAGAGTTGTGTAATCATCACCACAATCAGTTCAAGAACAATTTTAGTTTCAATCTTGTACTCGCTATTAGCCCCCTGTTTGCCCCCCCAACTCCCCTGCCATACCCCTAAGGAACCATTAATCCAGCCGCTCTCTCTATAGATTTATCTATCCTGGGTTTCATATATAGAAAAACATTAAAAAACAACTTAAAAAGAACAGGGCAAAACAGATAAGAACCTCAATAGAAAGAAAGCACAGAGTATTCGAAACCAGAACCAGTGTAAATGGTTGAAGGAAGAGCTAATGATGGGTGCTAACTTTTAACCTGACTGCATCCGCAACAGCCCACTTTCCAAGGTGTGCTGCATGTTAGCAAGGTTATTCACCTCCCTGGTCCACAGTCGGAGGGGATTTCCCAGGGGCTTAATCCATGTGTATTACTCTTCACTAATAAAACTACAAAAAACAAAAGCGGAAATAGCTTTAAAATGGGTCTAAAGGGAGATCAAGTAATATTACATTCTGACGTAATCACTTCTGCTAAAATCAACTTTACAATGCCCTCCGTCTGATAAAAGGGTCACTCATATCCTCAACTACGATAGGTGGGGGTTCACTGAAGGCTACTCCATGCAAATGGACTCTGGACCTCCACTGTCACCCATGACCCTTCTGAAAACCAGGTGTTCACAATTTAAGCTCTGCTGCCATTCCCTCCTTTATATGTGGATTATATTATTTGCAATCCTTGGATTACACAGGCTGGTGTGCTGCTTCCATGTGGACTTAGTTGATGCCTCACTTAGATGGCTGTATGTTTGAACATAAGCCTTTAAGACCTGAGACGCTACGGGCACCATCTAGTTTCTTCACCACACTTTACTTTTTTTTGGGTAATAACACCTTTAAAGTTTTTCTTTCCCCAGGAATTTCCTTATCTCAACAACCTTCTCCTATTGTTATCATCATGATGCATTCAAATGAACAGCAATGCCTACGGAACATTCTTCAAGCCGTTTTACCTGGTGAAACGCTAAGATTTTGGTCACGTCTGTTGTCTGTGCTGTCGAGTGGGACCCTACTCAGAGGGACCCTTTGTCAAACAGAATGAAACACTGCCAGTTTGGCGTCATCTTCACCATGGCTTGAGCTCCTTGTTACAGCCGTCGTGTCCTACACTTCAGTCCGAGTCTGCTTTCTTGCTGATCTACTTTGTGAACAGGATGCTCTTTCCCAGGCCCTGCTGCTCTTCTTCATCACGGGCTCAAGGTACATGCGATCGTCTTGCCATCCTTCCTTCCCAAGAACATGCTAGTCGTCTTTCCAAGACACAGCCCCGGACTACAAACCCAACCCATTGCCATCGAGGGGATTCCGACTCAGAGACCCTGGAGAACAGGGTCGCACTGACCCTGAGGGTTTCCAAGATGGAGACTATGGTAGTAGAAACGCTCATCTGTCCCCTGTGGAGGGGCTGGTGTTGGGAAGCGCTGACCTTGTGCTTGGCAGTCCAGCACATAGCCCACTATGTGACCGGGGCTCCTTAAGACACCCCCAGAGGTGGCTATATAGCCGGGAACAGAAGAACTTGCAGAGAATCTACATTTTCTTATTTCCTCTGGTAAACTAATCTGCTTCTGCGCAATTAATCTAGCTACTAAGTTTCTTTTAATCGTTTTATTGAGGGCTCTTACAGCTTTTATAACAATCTGTACATCAATTGTAACAAGCACATTCGTACACATGTCGCCATCATTATTTTCTAGACATTTCTTTCTATTGAGCTCTTGGTGTCAGCTCCTCTCCCCCTCCCGCTTCATGGCCCCTTAATAAAGCATAAATTATTATTTTCATATCTTACACCGACCGCTGTCTCCCTTCCCCGACCACTTCTGCTGCTCAGCACCCTGCAGAGCGGTGGGGGTGAGCTTATGTGTTGATCATCGCCATCGGTTCCCCCTTCCTCCCCTCCTTGGCCACCAATACTAATTTTCTAATAAGGAAAAGGAGTGAGTCACAAATTACCTAAAAACATCTGGAGTCTAAGTGAAAACTACAGGTAAATGTTACCACCTGCTCGCCTTTCGGTAACACTTTAATGACCATATCAGGGCTATTAAAGGAAAACACATGGATGCCACGTCTAAAACAAATTCTTTTCCTGAAACATATTTACCTGGCTGGTCCACAAATAAGGAAGCCAAGGGCATGGTTTTCTGAGTTTTTATTAAGACAGTTGACCAAGGACTGTTGCCATCTGAGAGAGGTCTTATTCTATAAAACAAAAATGTTAATTTTGACACCATGCAACCATATGACACAATTTAGGCTTTCATGGGTACATACCCATTCCAATCTTTTTAAGGCAGTACAAAGACGACATATGCACCCTGAGTTCTGAAGTGTTAACAGTGCAAACACAAATTTTAACGAAATCATACTTAGTCTGAAAAGCTCATCCTAGAAAATGCAATTCACGTCTCGGTCTGTCTGTATTCAGTGCTTTTTAACAGGTAAGCCTGGTAGCAACCCCAATGAGAAAGGCACTCCTGGCAAACATCGGGGCTCTGTGGTCATCACAGGTGTACCTTTCTTTGCAGTTAGTTCGCTCTTGTATCTGAATCGAATTTGGTCCCCAGGTGCAACCTTTTCTCTTGAAATTCCGTTTTATCTCTTCAAATTCTTCTTGGCGACAGACTGGGTTCCTTCCCCAAGTTTTATTACTTTCATCTGAAGTCACTAAACAAAAAGGAATAGTTAGTAACCTGCATTCACTATGTTCAACACCCACACGAACGCAATCATTTGTGCCATGATCTGACTAATAAGGTGACCAGATTTAAAGCGGGACACTATTGACCTGGGTGGGGGTGGTTCTTGATTAAAAATTTGGTCTATATGGACCAAATAGACCGTTCCCTAGCTTGTCGTGCATTCTTTCCAAAAATTGGGACTTTTTTAAAACGCCAAAATTCGGGACTGTCCCACCAAAAGCGGGATGTCTGGTCACCTTAGACTAAAAGCAAGAAAAAGATTATGGTAGCAATTGTACAATACGACTACATGATTGACCTATGGAATACGATATCTGTATAACTCCCAATAAAATGCTTTAAAAACCAAACAAGAAAAAGGGGAAATTATTTCCTTCAGTCTATGGCAAATTTCTTTCTCTAATCATAAAACAGGAAGAGAAAATAAATAGAAATGACTAAAATAGAATCTTTGCTATCAATTTATCTAACATTCTGGAACAATTAGGGTTTCATTTTAATTGGGAAAAAAATCACACTGAACATTTAACTTAAATAAATGATTATCAGCACTCTAATTTTTAAAACCATATCTATTAGCGTTTTGACTCTGAGGTACAAAAGAAATATTTTAAATTGCAATTTAAGCTTTTGCTAAGGCATCACAAGAGTTTAGTTAGAAATGCCTTTATCATATCATATTAATATAAAACATTTGACAGTCTCACAGTTCCTTGCCCCTATAGGGAGGTTATTTTTCCATGCAAAATCTAAAGTTTTCATATGCTTGCACGTGTCCAGCCTTCAAGGGCATTTATAATGACATTAGAAATCACTAAGGAAAACTAATATTACTTACACATGTAGGGGTGTGTGGGAAACCTGCAGCATAGGAGATGTTCTAAAACCACACATGATAAACATATGTAGAATATGTTTTTTCCAGAAAAGATGAGCTACAGACAAAATGTTAATTATATACTACAGTGGACCCTCGTTTATCGTGGTTAATCGGTTCTAGACCCTACCGTGATAAATGAAATTCCGTGAAGTACGATTCCTTATTTGTAAATCAAATATTTTCGTAGTTAGAGCATAGAGGACATGAAAAAACACCCTTTAGTCACCATTACACTCGTATTACCCAATTTATTAAACGAAAAAGGGAAAATACAGTAAAACATTTTGGACGTTACAATTATCATTTATTTTTTATTATATTATTTATGGCATCTAGTTTACAGTATTACGACTTGTCACGATGCGCTTTGCTTCCTTGTTGAAAGTGAAAGTAGCTGTAGCACGGATGTTTTTTTCCTCTTTAGCACGGATGTTTTTTTCCTCTTTACGGATGGAGCGAACGGAAGACTCATTCAAGTCGAAATGGTGTGCAACCTCCACGATTTTCTTGCCATCTTTGATCATATCCAAAAGTTTTACCTTTTCCTGGATGGTGAGCATCTTCCTCTGGCGCTTATTTTTATTGTCAGAGGCTTAGAAGAAGCAGCTCGTTTAGGAGCCATCATAGGGCTTAGACAAAATTTCTTAAAAATCGCAAACAATTACAGTACAGTGTACAGAAGCAAAAATGCATCTGATACGTACCTCCGATACGTAGCGATGCAGACAGAAGCGTGTACAGTATGAGCCAATCAGTGGCAGTAATGACAGAGCATGCGCTGTTACGCAAAAACCGCGATAGAGTGAAGCTGCGGAAGTCGAAGTGCGAAGTGGCGAGGGTTCACTGTATATGCAACGATTTTAATAAGAATCATGGGTAGACACAACTATGCACATGTACATATTTTAAAAGTCAATCAACATAGATACGCAACTTCTATTAACACGTTTACTTAAGAAGGATTGATAATGTAAAAGCTGGACTCTTCACTTAGTTTTATCATTTAAAAAAATATTTGAGGTCTCATGGGTAATGTTTGCTTGCTTTTGGTTTTTGTGTTTCAATATTCTTCTTTAAAAACACAAAACAAAACACACGAAGGAAGAGTTCCCTGGTTGGTGTTATGTGCCGTTGAGTGAGTTCTCACTCAGTGACCTGTGCACAGCCGCTGCCCGGGTCTGTGCCATCCTCACCAACATCTTTCTGTTTGAGCCCATTGTTGCAGCCGTGTGTCAATGAATCTGGTTGAGGTCATCCTCGTTCTTGTTGACCTTCAACGTTACCAACCGTAATGTCCTTTGCTAGGGGCTGCTGTCTCCTGATAACATGTCCAAAATAGATGAGACCAAGTCTCACCATCCTTGTTTGTAAGGAGCAGTCTAGCTGTATTTCTTCCAAGGTAGATTTGTTTGTTCTTCTGGCCGTCCACAGTACTTTCAGTGTTCTTTAACAAACACCACGATTCAAATGCACCATTCTTCCTCGGTCTTCCTTATTCATTACCCAAAAGAAACAACAAATGTCTTGGAAGAAGTACAGCCAGAAGGTTCCTGAGAGGGAACGATGGTGAAACTTCATCTGACATCCTTTGTATTTGTGGTCAGAAGAGACTACAGATCCAGAAAAGGGCACTGTGCTTGGTAAAGCAGAGGGGTAGCAGAAAAGAGGAAGATCCTCAATTAGCTGGATTAACATAGTGGCTGCAACAATGGGCTCAAACCATAGAACAATTGTGAGCAGGGTGCAGGGCAGGGCAGGGCAGTGTTTCAATGTCCTCCAGCTAAATTACCTCTACAAGCCTGAGCTCTGCCCATTCTGCTGCTTGTTCCTATAGCAGTGGACACACACAGTATCTGTCCTTTTGTGCTTGGCTACCTTCACTCAGTATAATGCCTTCCAGATCACTCCGTGTCTTGAGGTGTTTCAGCACTTTTTTGGGGGGGATGCGTAGTATTCAATTGTGTGTATATACCAGAGTTTATTTAATCCAAGATTCTATCAATGGGAATTTAGGCTGTTTCCAACTTCTTGCTATTATGAACTGTGCTGCAATGGAAATGGGGGAGCATACATCTGTTTGTGATCTGTTTCTCATGTCTTTGGGGCATATGCCCAATAATGGTATTGCTGGGTCATCTGGTAGTTCAACTGCCATCTGTTTGAGGAATCGCCATATTGCCTTCCCCAGTGGCTGCCCATCTTTACAAACCTACCAGCAGTGGATAAGAGTTCCAATCTCACCACATCCTCTCCAGCATCTGTTGTTCTCAGTTCTAAAGAATTAGGCTACAGTTATGCTTCCTCAGATGCCTTAGATGGTATCTCATGGCTTATTTTTTTGACTTGCATTTCCTGGATGGCTAGTGAGCGGGAGCATTTCCTCGTGTGTTTATTAGTCCTTGGAGTTTCATCCTTCAACAAGATATTTCTTGCATGTGATGTTAATGATATTGTTTGATGATTTCTGCATTCTGTTGGATTGCCTTTGTTTGGAATAGACACAAATATGGATCTCTTCTGGTTGCTTGGCTGGGTAGCTGTCTTCCAAATTTCGTGGCATAGATGAATGCGTGCTTCCAGTGCTGTATCAACTTGTCAGACATTATTCATTGGTGTTCTGTAAATTCCTACTTCCTTGTTTTCCACTAATGCCTTCAGTGCAACTTTGTACTTCTTCAGTGCCCATTGGTTTTGATCAGACGCTACCTCTTGAAATGGCTGAACATCTACCGATATATCTATATATATTCACTGCGAGACCCAGAGCTTTATTCAAAGCAGGTTTTTATACCGTGCTTGCCAAATACCCTGCACCTTGTGACAAGTTTCCACACAAAGGGATTGTTGACAATGAGCTGAGGGCAAACAAAGAAATAGGAATTTTCCTTAGCCAAGTTGTCTGCGATCCGGAAGGGAAGATAAGGGCAGGAACAGGGAGTAACTGATCCTGTGCAGATTGCCGTGTTCAGCAGCACTCCCAGGGAACAGGAGGGAAAGTGTCCACATTCTCTTAGGGGAGAGTCAGACCATCCAGTTCATCACTAGCTCAGCATCAGCCGTCAGCATTTCCCACAGATCCTTGCCTGAACCGTGGAAGGTGTGGCCCTCTTCCACTTGCCCAAGGAGCAGACAGTGTTGCCCCCACACCACTCTGATCTTCGCTTTCTTTCCTGTCTTTTTAATGACCGTTCTGCTTTCTTTATGAAGGATGTTCTTGATGTCCTCCCACATCTCATCAGGCCTTCTGTGTCAAATCTGTTCTTGATATTCAGGGGGGACAGACTCCAGACTGAAGGTCATTAACAAGCCTTCCTTCAATGCAGATGTCTCATTCTTCGTCATAGAATCCAGCTTCTCGGATGATTTGCTCAGCAGAGAGATTGAACCAGTGTGGTGAGAGAATACACCCCTGATGCACCCCTTTCCTGATTTTAAACCATGCACTATTCCCTAGGTCTGTTCCCACAACTGCATCGTGACCCATGCTCGAGTTCCAAAGGAATACAATAAATTGTTCTGGAATTCCCATTTTTCTACAGGTTATCCCTAGTTTGGTAGGAAGACCTTCCCCTTAATGTGATCTAACATAGTGAAGCAAGAATTGTGGGAAGATTAGGGTGGAGTACAACCCTTCCTCAGGAGAGTGGAGATGTGGCCTCCTTCATTTATGCAAGTAGATACTTCAGAAAACTACCTCCGGTTCCCCGTCATCCTGTTTGAAAACTTCTGAAATGCTCCCACGTTTCAGAGAGACCCATCCTTCTGTGGAACAGTTAATAGACTGGAAGTCCTTCACCTCAGGAGGGCTGCTGGGTCTCAGGTCAAGGAAGCAGACAGCTGAGTCTTCCCCGCGGGCAACGCAGGCAGCCCGCCAACAGGCAGCCAACAGCAGGGCGGGTCACCAACAGTCAGCAGTTTAGGAGCTTAGTGAAGCAGGCCGGGATGGGATATCGAACTCACGCAATGCAAGGCGACAGGATCCACCAATCTCAAGCTCAAGCTCATGCATCTGCGTGGTGAAACAGGTCTCAAAGGAAACTCAAGCTCTAGCGACACGATCCATGGGTTGGGTGTCCACCAGGTAGTACAGCTCACAAGTTGAGGCAGAGAACTAGCTAAGGCAGCTGCAGGCTGGTCTGATCACCAGAGAGCAAGAGAAACATCTACCGATATTTTTAACCATTTTATTGACATATACTTTGTGAACAATACAATTCAATGGTTTACATATATTTAAGAGAATTGTGCCATCATCTCCACAATCATAATTTGATAATTTTGTTCATTAGTTTATCCATTGTTATTAGCTCCCCATTGCACCCCAACCTGCCCTGTCACGGTCCTAAGATTTATTAACCTAGTTACTGTCTCTATAGATTTACACCTATACTAGATTTCATATTTAAAAAGTCACAACAAAGCAGATATCCTATTAACGAGGATAAAACAAACAAAAGAAAGCAGAAAATAATAAACACGAGGCCAAGCAAAAAATGGGTCAAGAGGGAAAACAAATGGTCAGATGTCAATATTTTAAGTTCACCATATCTTCAGTAATGCATTTTCCAGTGCACTCTGAGGACAAACCTACTCACCTATCTGGTACAGCACCCTAGAGAAACAATTTTTAGTGGGTTACTATGCTCTCTGCCAAGTGGAACCACTGACAGAGGTCAACTCCACATTGCCATCAGCTATCACCAAGACAGCTAAGCTGACCAAATGGCATGCAGTCATGCACCAGCGTGGCACCATTTCTATTACAAGTTGTGTTTGGTCCAGCGATATATCAAGATGACCCCCTTCTCTCATTAAAAGCTAGCGTGATGCTGGAGCCACCTTCCTCCTCCAGCATGAGAGGGGGAGACTCATGGACAGTAGAGGACGGTCTCGCCAATAGTTCTATCTGAAGCAGGCCACCGTCGGGCATCACAAGGATCATATAGGTTTCCAGTGATACCATATGATTTGACTCAGGGCAAAGCAGTCAGTAGGCAGAATTACGGGGAACTTGTTGCCAGAATGGCAGACATACTACCCAGATCCTCAGCCACAAGGCGATTAAAAGAAGTAGGCATCAGATATGGATGTGATTTTGGCAAGGATAGAAAAGTAGATCAAATACTGAAGAAGTTGAGCTAAAATGGTGATCAAGGACACATACAGACTGAGGAGACAGACAGAGCAGGTGACAGGACACAGAGCCAGCATTCTGAACGTTTGGTCTGATTCCACACACCTCTAGACCAGCAAGCATGTCCATCGAGGAATCGGCATCCTGCTCTACCAGGAACTTTGCCCCTTCCTCATTTTTCTTACCCTTCCCGAGTTTTTCACGTTCTTTTCTTCCTGTTTGTTTTTCTTATTGCTTTTTCCCTTAATTTTCACTACTATTCTCTTTTCTTTTTCTCACCCTAGTTTTCTTTTCATTTCCAATGTTTTATTTTTAGATATTCATTTCTCTTTTCTTGTTACTTGATTTCTTTTCCCCCCCGCACTGCTTTTTCTTTTTCTTTTTCCCCCCTTTGTTCCCCCTCCCCATCTTGGGAAACAGCAACCATTAAAATACTACCACACCAGCCACATGTCTAGCAGCCCTACCTACTGGTTGCCCCTACCCGATGAATGATAGATGACTTCTAACCCTAGCCTTAATTGAATAAGGAGCCACAACCATAATTAACACCCATGCACCCAATGAAAGACTTTCAAAATACATTAACCAAATGAAGAGACTGTTAAACCAAAATACAATAATTCTAGGAGACACATCACTTTGGAGCAAAGGTGGATCAACTGGGAAGAAAATCAACAAAAATACCAAAGAACTAAAGAATGCAATCCAGGGTTGGAAAATCTCATAAAGATACATATTTTGTGTTACCATTATAATAAGGGAGATAATAAAAATGATTTTCACACTAAAGGATAAGACTTTAAAAGAATGACAACGCCATGAGTGGGGTGGTAAGGAGGGCAGAAAAAAAAAAGAAAAAGAATGACCACAGAACTATATACTGTTTTACTTTCACTGTTTTGATTAGAAATTACATAGTATATTTTTCTTGTATGCGTTATACTTCACAAAACAGAAAGGAAATGAAATTAAAAATAAATAAATAAAATTTAAAAAGAAGAGAGGGGTCACAGTTTAAAAAACTCTTCTATTCCTTACCCATCAAACCTAATATACTTTTCTGAGTGGTTATAAAAGGAAAAAAAGGTTGAAATTGGCTGGAACTATTTTGACAGGCAAGCTAGTTTCAAACAGAAATAAAATCTCTTTTCCAGAACATTTTGAAGCTCGCTCACATTCAGGGGTTGATCAAGTTGAGGGCAGTGGGTTTGGTTTTGGGGGGTTTAAGGACTTAAAAGGAACCCAGGTGGCACTTGGCTATCAACCAAAACTTCGGTGGTTGGCGTTCACTCAGTAAATCTGGAGGTCGACTTCAGAAGGCTTTGAGGAACTCAGCTCTACTCTGACACACATAAGGTCACTCATCAGTCGGAGTCAGTTTGACGATAATTATTTTGTTTTTCTTTTTGTTAAGGACCTCAGTAGGAATGACGTTTTATTTCCCAAAGAGTGGTTAACATCTATTTCCCTTACTTAGAAACCTACTGAATAGATCTGAATGAGTGAGCTCTGGTGGTGCAGTGGTTACGAGCTGGGCTGCGGTCCACAAGGTCAGCAGTTCGAAACCACCAGCTGAGGTAAGGGAGCAAGATGTACATTTCTACCCTCCTCGTGAGTCCCAGTCTGGGAAACCCGGAGGGGCAGTTCTATCCTATCCCATCAGGACACTGTGCCTCAGTGTCAACTCGATGACAAGGGAGTGAGATGTGAGCCACGTCAATGCCAGCAAGAACTGTGCAAGCAAAAAAAAACAAACTGTGCAAGCCCCTGTGTCCATCACAACGGGAGGAGACACTTACACTGGATGGCTCGGAGTCGAGGGATTAGAGTCGGGCTGCTTGGTGGACTGGAGTTGTTACTGTGCAAACTTCTTCGTTTCTCCAAGTTGGGGGATGCTTGCACAGTGATTTTGTGCTGAAAGTCTGTTGGATAAGAGAAGAAAAAATTATGATGATATGGTTTTATATTAGCATCATATTCATGCCGCTAGCAAATAGTACAATTCTTGTTGATTTATTTGAATTAGTGAATTAAAACCCCAAAATGAAAAAAAACAAAACAAAACACTCAGTGGAGACAGTGGAAGATAGCGCTGAGACAGAGTAAGCCCCCTGAGCCCAGGTGGGAGGTCCACCTGGGGGCACAGGCTAGGCCCAGCCACATGATGTCATACAGGTGGGCCTGTCCTCGGCCAATGGTGTCTGCCAATATCTTCAATCCCTCCACCCCACTCTCCCAAACCGCAATGGGGCTGGAGGGAATAAGCCAGCTGCAGAAAGGCCAGGCCCATTTTTGACTCTGCTCCTCTTCTGCTGCAGGCAGGGGGGTGGGGGTGTCTTTCACATGCAGGTACACACACACCTGCGTGCCCCCTCAGGGCCGCTCTGGGCCTCTAAGGGCCCCACATGCTCTTGGTTTCTTGGCTTCTGGGGATTCCCCAGTTCCACACATGTGGTTTCCCACACTCCGGTTTCCACGTGGTTTTTCATGCCCATTTGCAAACCCCACATGGCTTCCACGCAGCCCTGCATGCTTTCCGGAAACAGTGTATACCTTTTCGAGACTGTAACACCTGAAACTCCCCTTTCCTCCATAAAAACTCCATTGGATTACAAAAGTGCTTCTGCTGTGTGAATTCTTTCAGTGTGTAAAGCAAAGAACCGAGGCAAACCCAATCCAGAAACCTAACAACCTGATAGTAAACCCTAGTTTCTTACTTTAGTATATCTTCAATCCAAGGTTCAATATAAATTAGAGCTTAATTTCTGTAACACTTGGTTTGCGGGAAGCAGCAGTTTACAGAGTAAGCCCTACCTCCATTTTGTGTCTTGACAAATTCAGACACGACTTGAATTTGTTCTGACCATTCAACTTGCAATGTGGCTCTTGACAACTTCCAGACAAGCCCAGGGAAGGGGAGTTTTGCCCCCACACTTACACAAAGAACTGGGTAATTTGCCTGGCCATGTTTTCCATTGATCTACTGAACATAGCTGCATGCTAATTTAAAAGTTGGCTCTGGTGCCTGTGACTCAGGGCTACCTGGTCCCAAGGACCAGAAGCATCCTGTAATGTTTTTCAGATTTGCAATTGTGTATGGCTTTATACTAAGGTGACCAGATGTTCCCGATTTTTAACAATTTTCCCCACGTCCCGCAGTGTTTTTAAAAAGTCCCGATTTTTGGAAAGAATGCACGACAAGCTAGGATATATGGTTTTCGGCTGCCATGTGGCTATTTCACCAGGATATGAGTTTTATCAATGGTGTCCCGCTTTACCAATGTTATAATCTGGTCACCTTACTTTATACTCCTGTCAAAGTTACACTCTTGGAAACACACAGGGGCAGTCCTACCATCCAATAGGGTCACTACGAGTCTGTATTGTCTCAATGGGCAGCAAAAAAAAAAAAATTTTTTTTAAATGTATCCCATTCACAGTCCTTTCCCCCTATCTGTAGTCACACTTACAACTTTGATGGATCAAAAAATCCACCAGTCATTATCTGGTCCTGTTTTCCTTTATATGTAATTAGTTCCATGGTCATGAGTCAGGAAACTTCATTTCGGTCTCTGCACTGTATGCATTCTGATGGTTTTCCCCAGCCAGGATGACTGCTTTTGTCTTAGTACTGCTTAAGGCTCAAAACAAAATAAAACGAAATGGAGGTTTCTAGAATATGGTTGACTCTGGTGTCTCTCTCTTCCCCTCAATGATAATAAATAATTCTGAGATTATAAGTCAGGTACAGTGAGACACAATACAAAATATACTCCATAAACTCCAAACCAAACTCACTGCCTTCGAGCCAACGCTGACTCATAGTGACCCTCTGTGGGTTTCTAAGCCTCTAACTGTTTATGGGAGTGAAAAATGCTTGCCGACCATTGTGAGGATGATAAAAGACATTCTGTTAAACATGAAGATCAAATTGACTTGATAGGAGCTATAAGGAGCCCAGGTGTCGTAGTACTTACAGATTGGGCTGATAAGTGAAAGGTCAGTAGTTTGAAACCAACAGCTGCTCTGTGGTTGAAAGAGGAGGGTTTCTAGTTCCCTAAAAAGGTATGGTATCAGCAAACCACCGGGGCAGTCCTAGCCTGTCACTCTGAGGGATCGTAAACTTGATGGCAATACGTTTGAGCTTTTGGATAGACGTCTATCTAACCACCTAGCACCGCAGCTATGTTAGTAATGTGCGGTGGTTCTCAGAGCGTCACTAAGTCAGAAATTATGGAATGTGAGGAAGAAAGAGTAATATGAGAAAGAAAAGGAGAGCTTTGGGGAAAATTGTAAATTATTGGTAAAATGATTTGAAACTTGGAAAAAGGCAAAAGAAATGACGAGGTGTTCTTTCAGTGGAGTACTGAGATTAATCTGTTTATTTTTCTATTGACTGGGCTATTTTTACAACTCAGCAAGTGTGGGGTTAGCATGTAGATATTATCTGGTGAACATGCTGTTAATTTCTGTCTGTTGGGAAACAATAATCCCAAAAGTTATGGTTTCTTGTCCTGATTTGCATTTAACCCAGCAATCTATTCGTAACATTCTTTTATTAAACTGCCCCCCAAATATGAGGTGGTTTCTGAACAAACAAAATGGAGGTAGGGCTTACTCTGTAAACTGCTGCCTCCCACAAACCAAGTGTTACAGAAATTAAGCTCTAATTTATATCGAACCTTTGTCAAAAAATGGAAAAAAGAGAAATTTTCCATAATTTTTTTGAAGCCTGCTCATACATAGCTCCTCAAATGATCATTTTCACAGGTTTTGATTGGCTATTTTATTAATTGTGTGGATAAAAATCTTAGGCACATATTCACTTTATATATATAATCATTTTATTAGGGGTCATACAACTCTTATCACTATCCATACATACATCAGTTGTATAAAGCACATTTGTACATTCATTGCCCTCATCATTCTCAAAACACTTGGTCTCTACTTAAGCCCCTGGCATCAGCTCATTTCCCCCCCTCCCTCCCCCTCCCCCATATTCACTTTATATTTGCAAGAGAGCTGTAATTTCCCATTTTGAAAATTGTAATTTAAAAAGTCAGTTGGTATTTGGAATGAGGTAGAGGTGGAATTTGGAAAAGGAGTTGGAATTTGGTAGGGAAAGACATCTTTCCAAACATTCAGTCTGGTAATCTGAAAAATTTTCTTGATACCATCTTTCCCTTAACATCCATATCCAATCAAACATAAATATCCTGCAAATTTCTTGGAAAGGGAATTCAATCTTGTTTAGTTTCAGCATCTTCACTGATAAAAAAAGAGGGACTAAATCATCCTTCCTGCTGTAATGGATCGAGGGGATTGCAATGGATGAATTGAAACACAATGTGTACGAACTACTGAGTGTAAACTGATAATCTGCTTTGCAAACTTGTACCTAATACACCATAAGAAGTAAAAAAAATAAAAATAAAGACTATATTCAGGATAGCTTCTACCCTCATGGATCTAGGAAGTTTAGTTTCTACACGTGGTCCAGTGAATTTATTTGATACAATTCTTCTAGCCATGGTCTTTGTAACTGAAAGTGACAGGGTAGAACCATAAAAACAGGTGTCTGGGACTCTAACAAAGGGTCGGATTTGCCCTCCTGTTGGTGTAACATGAGCCACCTCAGAAGCAGGAATGGGGGATCTCCTGACCGTCAAGAAAGAAGAGCCAGGAGTGGAGCCAGTCATTTAGTCTCTGAGCTACCTGCTCTGAACCTCTTCACTTCCAGGAGAGAGAGGCCCATACCATGGGAGAAACAGTGGTAAGGGGCAGAGAAGCAGCAGCGGAGACAGCAGAAGCAAGTGCACGAGACAGAAAACGGCAGACTCCCGGCCCACACTGTCCGTGAAACGGAATGCCTTTGGGCAGAAGGCTGGCTGGCAGAGTGGGGTATCTCTCGTCACTTAACTGGACAGTTAGGTTTGCTGACTCCCACAGCTAAAGGCAAGCACCATTAGGCTGGGGTTTCTGGTGAAGTGACGGGCCCTTTAGGCGTCTTGTCAGCAGTGCTATAGCAAGGTGCTTGGTAACACTTGCCAGCCAACAGCCCAAGCCAAGGGGCCACTTGGCAGAGAGGCTTGAGGGCTAGGCTGGAGGTGTGCCTGTGGGCATGGCTCAGAAGAGTCACTCCTGATCCGAGAACTGTAGTATCTAATGGTACACATTTCTGACCCAGAATTGTAACAAGCTAACTTCCCTAATAGACCCCATCACCTTGAGAGTGGGGGTAGGGGTGGTGAAAAAATTCCCCTAAGCGTTCCCATTTTTTCATAAACTCTTTGAAGTTCCCTATGTTGCTGCGAGATGTTGTCTAACATATGAAGTTCCCTATGTTGTTGCGAGATGAAGTTTCATATGTTGCTGCGAGAAGTTCCATATGTTGCTGCAACTCATAGTGATCTTATGTGCATCACAATGAAACCCTGCTGGATCCTGTACTATCTTTTGAATGTTTGAATTCATTGTGCTAAGCCGTTGTGTCAATCTTCATTCATCTTAGTGAGGACTTGCCTCTTTAATGATAACCCTCTCTTTCACTACGTACGATATCCTTTGCAAGGGCTGGTTCCGCCTGAAAACATGTTCAAAGGACAGGCGACAGTCTCACCACCCTCACTTCTAAGGAGCATACTTCTTCCAAGACAGACTTGTTCCTTCTTCCAGCGGTCCAGAGTGATTTTAGTATTCATTTCCAACACCATAATTCAAAGGTATCAGTTCTTCTTTGGTGTTTCTTATTCATTGTCCCACTTTTGCGTTCATATAGGCGACTGAAATTACCATGGCTTGAGTCAGACACACTTTAATCTTCAAAGTGACATCTTGGCTTTGGACTACTTGAAAGAAATCTTTTGCATCATATTTGCCAAATGCAATATGTCATTTGCTATCCTGGGCAGCGGTTGTA